GGGGGGGGGGGGGTACCATTAGCATTAGACACCATTGACAGAGTGGATGATTTGCGACTAATAAGTTGGCCAAGATCAAATGTCATATGATCTGTAGCACCTGAGTCGATAATTCATGTTGATTTTTGAGAGGACGTATGAAAAACAGAACCTTTGGTGGTGGCAATAGAAGCACGAGCCCGGGTAGTCGGGTCAGCATGATTGACCGCATGCTTCTGTGAGTCTGCAATAAGGGAGAGAATCATAGGGGCTCTTGACATCGCAGCGGAAATAAGATGTGATATGAGAATGTAAGGAATTTGATTGGAGGAATGTGATTTGAGGAATAGTATGTATGAATTTGATGTAGGAATATGATTTGAGAGGTATGTATATAAGATTTGAGGGTATGTGTTTACGGATTTTGATAAGAGGATTTGAGGACTTTAGAATTTAGGGACTTGGTTTTGAGGAATTTAAATATAAGGAATTTGATTTAGGGTTTTAGATTTGAATATGAGAAATTTGATATGAAAGTTTAGAGGCAACCTAAGAGTTTACATAAGTGTTTTACAAGGAAATAGATACAGTAATCAATTAGGATAGTATCTCCTAATTATACAATAATGATTTGTTTATATAAAATAAGGAAGTAAATCCCTTAATTAATTAAGGAAATAAATCTCCTTGATTAATTAGGAGACTCACATCAACAATTTCAGTATATAAAAAATTTGGGGTTTTTCACATGTTAGTGAAGATTTGACTGCACCAGCATCATGTTGTCAAGAAAATTGATTCACTTAAAATCTTAGCCCTCCTCAGTCATTGTTAGTTTTGAATTAAAAAAACAGCTTACTATTAGTTGGTAACAATTACTCAAAAGGGGAAAACAGAAGTACTGAAATTTACATTTTATTTATTTATTGGGACTGAAATTAAGTACAACATTACTCTTCAATCTTAACTCCAAAAGTGCAATTCAAATGATAAAGAAGAAAAAAGAATTGAAAGCCACACTATTGAAGAAAAAGAGAAAACAGGACACAAGACTGTTGCCCCTATAGATGTTTTTAGTTGTAGGCATCAGGGTTGGCCACAAGATAGGTCTCAATAATCTTGAACAAAGCATGGGCCTTCTCTTTGCCGGCCTTAACATGCTCTTCCTTGATCTCAACATCACCTTTGGTGTGGTAGCTGCTGGTGTTCTTTATGATGGAACCTCCATCTGCAGATGCCACCAACTTAATCTCGTAAGAGATTTTCTCTATTTTGTCTGAAAGAGTATCTCCTTCAATCAAACTGTAGCTATACACAAACTTATCTTTGTCAAGCGCGTCAACCTGGTGCTTCACGTAGCTGTATTCACTTCCCGTAATTTGAAAATTCAGGATGGTTAATGTCAATTTTTTTAGAAATTATGACACTAGTGCTTTTCAAGATAAAGTTAATTAGTAGAGAGACAGACAATGGTGGAAAGTAAACAAATCTTCACCAAAGCTAGTCTTCTTGATGGTTCCAACACCTCCATCTCCTTCAACAATTTCAGCACTTTTAATTTCTTGTGGAGCAATCTTTGGGATTAGGTTGTCAGCATCTAGAACAAGGGCTTTGAATAACCTAGCAGGAGGAACGACTGAGGTGAACTCGGTTTCGTATGTGAAGACACCCATGATAGATGATGATGATTTAAGAGCTTAGAAAATGATCAAAAATAAGAATGAAATTCAAGGTATTACTTGATGTTGGAAGCTATGAGCACTGGAGGTGGTATTTGTTAGAAATTTGGAAAATATAGAGAGAACAAGTGGAAAATAGGGAGGATATTAAGTAGAGAGAGTGGGGAGTGTAGAGAGAATGAGAGCTGCTTTTTCTTTTTTCAACCAGTTAACTTGTTTCTATTTCTTGTCATACATTTATACAAGTAATATCCTACAATAATACAAAAGTCCTCCATGAAACATTCTAGGAAACAAGGATTGCACACTTCAAGAAAAGTACTCCATAAGACAAGGAAAGAAAGTCTTCCCTTAAACAAGTGTGCCATGAGACAAGGAGTGTCTTGTGTTTTGTCTTGTGTTCCACAAGATGACAACTACGTAAGCTAACACTCCCCCTAAAGTTGGTGCATAGATGTCACCGATACCCAACTTGACCAGTGAATTGTGGAACACTTTGCAAGAAACTGCCTTGGTTAATATGTCTGCCAACTGATCCTCTGATTTGACAAAGGGACACTGAATTTCTTTAGCCTCAAGTTTCCGTTTAATGAAGTGTCTATCCACTTCAACATGTTTGGTGTGATCATGTTGAATTGGATTATGTGCAATAGATATTGCAGCCTTGTTGTCGCAATACAGATTCGTCACAGATGTAGAGGCAGATCCTATCTCGGTAAGAAATCTTTTTAACCAAAGGAGTTCGCAAATTCCTTTGGTCATACCTTTGAATTCGGCTTCTGCACTAGATAAGGCAACTACATTCTGTTTCTTGCTTCTCCAAGTCACCAAGTTAACTCCCACAAATGTGAAGTAACCTGATGTAGATCTTCTATCTGTGATATTCCTTTCCCTATCTGCATCGGTATAGCCACTGATATTTAAATGATCATTTCTGGAAAACATAAGTCTTTTCCCAAGTGCCGACTTTAAATATTTAAGAATTCGAATAACAGCATCCATATGGTCTTCACTTGGACAATGCATAAACTGACTAACAACATTTACAGCATATGCGATGTCAGGTCAGGTATGTGACAAGTAGATCAATCGCCCTACTAATCTTTGATATCTTTCTTTGTTAGTGGGTACTTGATTAGGATACTCTCCAAGATGGTGATTCTGGACGATTGGGGTGTCCACGGGTTTGCAATCTAGCATTCCTGTTTCTGCCAATAAATCTAGAACATACTTTCTTTGGGAGAGAAATATGCCTTGCTTCGATCAAGCAACTTCAATGCCCAAGAAGTACTTGAGTCCACCAAGGTTCTTCATTTCAAACTCTTTTGCCAAACAGTCTTGTAGTTGAGAGATTTCCTGCTTATCATTCCCAGTAATAATCATATCATCAACATAGATTATTAGAGCCGTTATCTTTCCTTTCTGGTGTTTTCAGAATAGAGTATGGTCGGAGTTACTCTGTTTAAAACCATAATTCTTCATTGCCAAGGTAAATCGCCCGAACCATGCCTGGGGAGACTGCTTCAATCCGTACAATGCCTTTCATAACCTGCACACCACATTAGCATGAGTAGATGTAGCATACCTAGGTGGAATATCCATGTATACTTCTTCTGTGAGTTCTCCATGCAAAAATGCATTCTTTACATCGAACTGGTGAAGAGGCCAGTCAAGATTTACTGCAATGGACAATAGTACTCTAACGGTGTTAAGTTTTGCAACAGGGGCAAAGGTTTCTGCATAGTCGATACCATAAGTCTGTGTGTATCCTTTTGCCACAAGTCTTGCTTTGTAGCGTTCAATGGACCCATCGGCATTGTGTTTCACAATGAACACCCATCTACATCCGACAGTCCTCTTCCCTGGAGGTAATTTTTCCAGTGTCCATGTTTGATTTTTCTCCAGAGCCTTCATCTCTTCTTCTATAGCTAAAACCCATTTCGGATCCTTTAATGCTTCAGTCACTTTGGTTGGAATGTGAATAGCAGATAACTGATTTATAAAACCTTTGAGAGGTTCTGACAATTCTTCAGTAGACACATAGTTTGCAATTGGATACTTTGATGCTTTGCCATTATCTGGAGAATATCGAGTTGGTGGTTTTCCCCGGTTCTGTCTAACAGGTAATTGGTATCTAACAGAGTCATCAACTAAATTAGTAGATGTAGTAGAAGCACTTACCTCAGGATTATTCGTAGGAGATTGATCAGTGGGTACTATGGAGTGAGGGGGGTCTTCATCACAATCGTCGATGTATCTAGAAAAAATGTCGTGCTCACTGCTTTGAGGCGACCGGTCGCTGGGGTCTTCTCGACCGGTCGTTTTTGGATAGAATGTATCGCATGGCTTACTACTCTTACTGCTTCGAGGCGACCGGTCGCTGGGGTCTTCGCAATTGGTCGTTTCTGGACAGATTGTATCGCATGGCTTACCGCTCTTACTGCTTCGAGGCGACCGGTCGCTGGGGTCTTCGCGATTGGTCGTTTCTGGACAGATCGGATCGCGTGGCTCATTGTTTCGAGGCGACCGGTCATTGTGGTCTATGTGACCTATCGTTTTGCTCCAGTCTTGAATTTCCAGATTTTCGAGAGAGCTCCAAGTCTGCGCTTCTCTCTGTATCTCCCCCTGAAGCGGTGAGTTGGACATCGGGTCCTGGAAGAACAACTTGGACTCCATAAAAGTGACATCCAAGGTGACATAGGTACGACGAGTAGGGGGATGATAACACCAATATCCCTTCTGATGAGCAGCATATCCTATAAAAACACATCGGAGCGCACAGGGATCAAGTTTGCTACATTAATTTTTATGGAGATGAACGAACGCCACACAACCAAAGATTCATGGTGGAAGCATCGAAACTGATGGCAGGGGCCCATAATTGGCAAGCATTTGGAGCGGAGTCCGGAAGTCTGAGACTCACGAAGGCATACGATTGAGAAGATAAACTGTCGTGATGATGGCATCATCCCAGTGGTTGCGGGGAACATGAGCCCCAATCAGTAGTGTTCGAGCTGTTTCAAGGAGATGTCGGTTTTTTCGTTCCGCAACCCCATTTTGTTGTGGTGTTTGAGGACAAATCGTCTCATGAATCATGCTGTGCATCTGGAAGTACGTTTGAAAGTCATGGTTGACATATTCGCCCCCATTGTCAGAGCGGAGAACTCGGATCTTGGTAGAGAACTGAGTTTCAATCTGTTTGTGGAAAGACTAAAACATAGTAAACACTTCATTTTTACTCTTCATCAAGTACAACCATGTCATCCGAGTACAATCATTCACAAACGTCACAAACCACCGGAAGCCAGAATGAGAAGTTATAGGTGAGGGCCCCAACCATCAGAGTGAATTAACTTAAACGGAGTAGTACTCTTACTTGAACTCAACGGGTAGGGCACACGGTGACTTTTAGCCAAAAGGCAAGTGTCACATTTGAAGTCGGAGTCCTTAAAATCTGATAATAAATATGGTAGAATATGCTTCATATATCCAAAGGATGGATGCCCCAATCGACGGTGCCACAACCAGACTTGCTTTTGTTTGATATCATAGGTATGTGTCACATTGTGAGCCATGCCTGTACTAAGATCCTCCACATAATATAGCCCCTCTCTCATAGTACCACGACCAATTATCTCCTTAGTGTGAATATCCTGAAGTAAACAAAAACTCGGGTAGATTAGTACACAACAATTCAATTGTTCAATAATCTGACTAACTGACATTAGCTTATTTGATAGAGATGGAACAAGTAAAGTATTAGATAATGAAAGAGAGGGTGAGAGAGCCACAGTGCCAGCTCGTGTCACAGGAGAAGTAACTCCATTGGCATTAGCAATACTAGTTCATTTGGGTTGGCTAGTATGCAGAAAATCATCAGGATAAAATGTCATATGATCGGTTGTTCCGGAATCAATTATCTAGCCCGTTGAATTTCTATCATCCGAAATATGAAACACATAGCCAGAGTCACTACTTCCAGCTTCACATCTTTTTTGATCTTTTTCATATCGTGCAGTGTCAGTCGGGGTCGAGGTTTGGATCATCGGGGTCGGTTGGTCGGGTCGGTGGCAACACCTCGTCCAAGTGAGGCTAGTCGGTCGGGTCGGTGTCTGGGTTGGGGTCGGTTTCTGGGTTGGGATCGGTGTCGTCAATGCTTCTAGGTAGGTAGGTTGAGAAGGGTTGGTGGTGCTATTTCCAGCATGGGAAAAAACATCTTCTCCCATGGAGGTAGCAAAGATTCAGAACAAGAGTCAGCAATTACAAGATCGCTGCTCTGATACCATGTTAGAAAGTTGGAAAATATAGAGAGAACAAGTGGAAAATAGGGAGGATATTAAGTAGAGAGAGTGGAGAGTGTAGAGAGAATGAGAACTGCTCATTTTTCTTATCTCAACCCGTTAACTTGTTTCTATTTCTTATCATACATTTATACAAGTAATATCCTACAATAATACAAAAGTCCTCCATGAAACATTCCAGGAAACAAGGACTGCACACTTCAAGAAAAGTACTCCATAAGACAAGGAAAGAAAGTCTTCCTTGAAACAAGTGTGCCATGAGACAAGGAGTGTCTTGTGTTTTGTCTTGTGTTCCACAAGATGACAACTACATATGCTAACAGTATTTATAGGTTAAGGGTGAAGAGTCTGATGTGTAAAGTGACCCCAATGGATATAAGTTCAGTGGTTGTTTCCCATGTGAAAATTTTAGTCAAAGAAAGCCACCTCTACAAGTTGATTTCAAAAATTCCAATTTATTACAACTAGCTGGAATTTTTTCATAGAATGTTCTGGTGTGCTGAGCTGCTGACTCAATAATATTCTCATTCAATCAACTGAAAAATCTAACCTCCTTTTCACATTCTTTTTCTTATGGCCAACCCTGATGCCTACAACTAAAATAATCTATGAGATACTGCATGTTACAAGCAACAGTCTGGTGTCCTGCTTTCTCTGTCGTTGGCTAAGGGTTGGCTTTTTTTTCTTCTGTCA